CTCCCACCAGTTTGATGCCACTAGTTCTTCTGAAGTCACTAAGGGGATTTCGGGCTCTTCAAGCCTTTCCACTAAGAGGCTTACTGGCACACTAGGAAAATGCCTCCTCCCAACTTAGTCTTCTCCCGTAGGTTATCTCCATATTTACCTTTTCCTCCATTCCCGCGATAATTTTATTATGACGGAAGGTTTTTCTAAATGGAGTGACGCTGCCATCGCAAGCATGTCTGGATACATGCTCTCCCACGGTTTGACTTCTCAATTAGTTCCCTAAGGATGAGGTTATGAACCTTCTTTGAATTCCCTCACCAAATAATAGTATCACTATTCGGGGTTGACTGGATTCCGAGCTTCGTACTTTTACAGCAGCGTGTTCGTCGAAACTTCGTTGGTACACTGGGTATAAATACTGATAGGCGGCTGTCTCCGGGTTGTTTGTTGGTTAACTACGTTTCAGACGGCTGTCTGACTACCGTAATTTCTAGTGATCTCGCTCCTTTTGCCAACTGGTGGCACAAAAATATCTTATGTTTGTAGGTGATGATTAAGTGCATTTGGCACTTGATGAACTAGCGACAAGACATTGCATAAGGTTCTGGCTTAAGACACAATATGCCGTAAACCTTCTTTAATTTTCATGCCATTCATTGTGGGTCAACTTGTCTGCCTTGCGACAAGCTTCAGCTCTGTGCGTTGCACTATAAAACAAACAATTGGCTCCTTGCCCTGAGTGTAAACCGGCTACTGTAGGAAATTTCCCTTACTTTACTTTCTTTGTTTATCGCTCTTATCTTGTTTCTGTCCTGAACTCTTATTCACTTTCGTGTCTTAGAAACCAGACTCAACTAATGCGATTTTTTCGTCTATATGGTGAATAATGTAAATAATGAACTAACCACTCCTCCATCACCCCCCCCCCCCCCCCGTGTGAGCCTCATACCTTATTCAGCTGCTCAGCCCTGATGGGTTCTTCCTCTTCACCTCCCCGACCTCAAACCTCGCACACGTACAATAAACGAAATAATGCGCAATACGCCTTTTTCGTCCCCTAATGTCTTTTCCATTTCTCCTTAATCTTTCTAGAAGCGTTATACCTCCTCTTGTTCTTTTCAAAACTTTCCTGACGGCATCGCAATAACAAAGAGCTTCAACCTAAAAGATGACTCTCCGATCTACTTCCTGAATCTCTCCCGACTCGGGGAGTCCTCATAATTCCGAATCTCACCATCATAATCACAAATATCCCCCACCATCATTTCGTCAATCTGAAAAATACCACAGTAAACTAAAAATTTTAATTCAATTGAAGAGATGCGAAACGCAAATGTGTCGATAGTATTTAAGATATTTTTCTTCAAACCTTGTTTGACTATGTAAATACTGTAGAAAAAAATCAACTGTCTCCCGCACTTAACTCATCCACGCAAGCCCTCCTCGAAGTCCTGACCGGTTCCCGTCTCCCTCCTCGACTCCAACCCAACCTCATAGTATAGTATAGTATAGTATCTTCGGCATTGAAGAATAGGCCTTGATAGGCCTGTCGCCGAATCTTGTATTTTTCTTGACTAGACTGGCCTTTTGATGTAATCTTTTAAACGGACGGTGGGTTCAAAATCGATTCAATTTCAGTTGTCCGTAGGACACGAGGCATTTCAAGATTATACATATGCTGCTGCATGGCCTTGTCTAGTCTGTTCTTGAATGCGTTCATACTCGGAGCGTCAACAATATCTTCAGGGAGGCTGTTCCACATGTCGGTGATTCGAAGCGAGAAGAAATGTTGTCGCGTGGATAAGTTGCATCGCAGTTTTTTTAGTTTATAGCTGTGGCCCATGGTGCTGGTTCTTGTTTAAAATTCTAGTAATCCTTCTGGGACCTTGAACAAACCATGAGTATACTTGTATACTTCAATGAGGTCACCACGCAGGCGACGATAAACGGAGACTGGGAAGCTTCGTAAACTTCAATCTTTCTTCATAAGACATGCCCTTTAAGCCAGGAATTATCTTGTTGCACGTCTTTAAACACTCTCTACTAAATTTTTGTCCTTTTCAAGTCTAGGTGACCGCACAACGTTTCCAAACTCTAGGTTCGGGCACACGACAGTGGTGAACAACTGCTTCATCATTTCTACATATAGGTACTCGTAGGAGCGTCTGATCAGCCCAAGCAGTTTATTGGAGTTATTAACTCGCGTTTCAGCGTGTCTAGAAATTTTTAGCTCCTTGTCGACACAAACTCCAAGATCTTTTTCCGTGCAAGACTTCTCAATCGTAACCCTCTCATTGCAACCATGTCTTCTCATGCTGAAAGCTTGCTGTTCATTGTTCTTGCCGAGGTGAAGTACTTTACACATGTCAGCATTGAAACTCAGCTGCCACGCATCAGCCCAGTCAACTAAACTATCAAGATCATTTTGCAGTTGCATTTTATTGGATGCATCCTTAACTGTATTATAAACTTTTGTGTCATCGGCACACATGGAGCACATGCTTGACACTACTTCTGGTAGATCGTTTATATAAGCGACAAGCAAAACAGGCTCAAGAACGCTTCCTTGCGCGTATGCCACTACGCAGTTACCCAGTCTGATACGGTTCCGTAAATGCTGACACGTTGTCTTCTGCTACTAGGAAATTCCTGATCCATTGGAGTACATTTCCCTCTATTCCCAAAGAATTCACTTTACGTAACAGTCGCTCATGCGGAACACAAAATCAAATATCAAATGCCTTGGCAAAATCGAGGTACAGTGAATCCACTGGCACCCTTTCGTCCAGCAGGCGAGTCCAATTATTCAAGGTAGACAGGAGATAAGTGGTGTATGATCTGCCAGCAATAAAGCCATGCTGACAGTCTGATAGAAGATGGTTAACAGTCAAGTGATCTATAATCCTATCCCTCATAACCGATTCCATCACCTTACACACAACACTTGTGAGACTTACAGAACGATAGTTAGCGGGGTTATTTCTGTCACCTTTTTTGAACAGGGGTGTCACTTGGGCTTCCTTCCAGTCGGCCGGCAAATTCCCTTCGATTAAGGTTTTTCGAAAGAATACTCATAGGTGGGCAGTAGCGCGCTCCATGTAGCGGCCCCTACATTTTCAGTAGCGCGCTACATGTAGCGGCCGCTGCATTTTCAGTAGCGGACCCCCTTTTTGTCAGTTTTCTAAGAATTTCACGTTTTCTTTCACTTTTTTGGAAAAATTCCCACGAACAAAAAAGTCTTAGATTTATTTTTTACATATGTGTACCAAGTTTCAAAGTTATCTGTCAGTAATTAACCGAAATAGAATTTCCATAAGAAATTGGACATTGCCATTGGAAATTGGACATTTTATTTCGGTTACTTACCGACAGATAACTTTGAAACTTGGTACACATATGTAAAAAATAAATCTAAGACTTTTTTTATTCCTGTGAATTTTTCGAAAAAATGACAGAAAACGTGAAATTGTTGGAAAACCGATGTTTTTTTCTGTGTGACGAATTCGTCACGCCAGGGCGTAAAGGGTATTAAAGCAATGTAGCGGTAGCGCCCGCTACATATTTAAGTAGCGATACGAGGTTTTGCCGCTACAGCGCAACCGCTACATTTTTAGATAAAGCCTTTGGATTTAGTAGTATTAAATATTATTTACAAACCAGCAAGATACATACACAATATAAAATACAGAATAAAACTATACGAAAGCTTTCGGTGTAATGTTGTCAACCTCAGCCTGTTACTAGTGTCAACTTGTTAGTTGTTAACAGAGGTGGGCAGTAGCGCGCTACATGTAGCGGCTGCTACATTTACAGTAGCGGTAGCGGCGCTACATTTAAAGCAATGTAGCGGTAGCGCCCGCTACATTTAGAGCATGCAGCAGTAGCGGTCGCTACATTTCAAAGTAGCGCTGCCCAGCTTTGACTGAATACTGTTAAAGGGCCGGCCAGGACGGTTGCTCATTCGTTGAGTAATCTAGGGTGGAAACCGTCTGATCCAGTTAACTTGTTGGGATTCAGGGAGACCAGGCGCTTGAGAACCTCCTCTTCGTGTATCTCAAAACTAGTCAACTTCGAGCCCATTGGTCGCTCCTCAATAGCTGGAATACTGTTTAAGTCCTCATCTGTGAAGACGCTGCTAAAGAACTGATTTAGAGCATTGGCCTTGCCCTCATCAGGAGATATCTTCCGTTGATTTACATTCAAATAAGCAATACCGTCCCTTGTCGTTCACTTCGTACTAGCATACGAAAAGAAGGCCTTCGGGTTCTTTTTGAGTTTTTTGGCAACATCTTTTTCAAAGTTTTTAACTGCGGTGCGATAAGCTTTTTTAGCTTGATTTCGAGCTCTTGAGTACATGTTATACTCAGCATCGCTACGAGTCCGTATATAACGCTCGTAGGCTTCTTTCTTTGCCTCTAGCTTTACTTTAACCGTATTGTTCATCCACTGTGTTTTTCTGACTCCACCGAGCTCATACAGATACAGCCAACCTAATTATCCGCTATGAGCATATCTTTGTCTCCTCCTGTCTTTCCAGTTTATCCTTCATCTTCCTGGGCACTCTGTGCCACCTATTTTCTTTTTTCCCACTCTCTCCCAAGGGCACCATGAACATATTGTACCTAAGAACACCAAACCGAGTAATCAGCATGCAGGAAAAGAATGTTTCCCAACAAAAACGTAAAAGATGGCGATAATCAACATCGATGCAGAGCATCAGATCATAAGTTTATAAATGGTAGTAATTTGTATGACATATCTTCTCACACAATTGTATATGGTCTGTCTATTACTTTGGTTTATGTGGCCAAAAAACCTGTCGTTATTTATAAATCACATTATCGATGATTTGGAATGGTTTTCATTAGTTAGATTTGGAAGCGCACGACTACATCACCCAGTTACGCTGTTTTTGTACAACAGTTGTACATTTTTTGCCCTGTTCTCCCCTGATTGCTGATTTATCATGACTTGTTTACTGTCCCTGAACAATTGAACCTACTGCACAGTTTGTGCTCGCTGGTGGCGTCAAGAGCAACTTGTTCGGGACGTGCTCCGCTCTCGCCAACACCGTCACGGGCGACCTGTTCGCCATTGACCTCGGAGGCGGCAAAGAATACATAAGATTTGCCCCCAAGAATGTGATTGCTGTTGATTGGGTGAAGCTGAACAGCAGCGGCGCATCAACGGATATCATCGCCTGCTCGGACGCCGCGTTTGCAAGGAGTGAGTTTAATTGACCCCGGGAACAATTACTGCGGATATAATTATGCTTACTTTACATTTGATTGCAGTGAATTGCATTTAAACTTAATTGGCGTAATTTTGTTGAATAATTTTAATGTATGCTAGTTTCATTCATAGATATTACAAGTTTGATTCATTTAAGTTTGACTCAAGTAATCCTTCCTCCTCAGACGCTCTCATGTTCAAGATCAACGGCTCCTGCTACGCCAGCGGCAGGACTCTGTACGACGTCGCGAAGGACGAGCAGGACTGCGGTGACGCGCCTGCTGAAGTTGTCTACGTCATGACGCCTCGTAAGTTGTCTACGTCATGACGCCTCGTAAATTGTCTACGTCATGACGCCTCGCAAGTTGTTTACGTAATTGTTCATTGTAAATTTGGTGGCCTCGTAATTTTCTTCTTCGTGGTTTTTGTGCAGTTGTTCAAATTGAAATTAATCTTCTGTATTACTTAACTAATCTGTATTCTTCATCTGTGTTTCTTGTTTGGATTAGTTAACACCCAAATAGAAGCGAATGTGAATCTTAAGTGAAATAAGTGTGAGCCATAATCGGCAGGAGCAGATTGTGTATGACGATATTATCCATGTTATCTAAGAAACCTAACATAAGCACACGATCCAGCAAAGACTTCAAAAAATGTCATGTGACGCTCTGCCCTTATAATTATAATTTTATTGTGAGGAGGGCGCTGACTTATAACTGGTATCAGGAACGGCAGGAAGTTAGTAGAAACAGCGAATTGTGGTTGAATGATCTGCTGCCTCTTATGAGAGGCCAACCACTGACTTTTGTTTGCTGATGAAACCACAGGAGCTGCTGATCCTTTTTACTTCGTGATCTTTTGCCGTCTGGCCCCCAACTGATTAACATTTTTTCGTTTATTTATTTGGAACTATCGGAGGCCAGCCACCGGCCGCAGAACCTGCAGCAATGTTAAACAAATCTAAAAGTCTTCATCCATCTTGCTTAATGCTCTAGATGATTTCTTAAGTCCGTATCATTAAAAAAAAATGCAACAAAATGCATGGCGTCTAATTTCAGCTCTACGGCACTTGTTCGAGAACAACGGATTGAATTATTTATGTTTACAGCTCAAGGAGAATGGATCGGAAACACCTTCCTTCTTTACACTGAGTCCTCGTCTGACGGGTGCCTCCTCAGCAACATCGACAACACAGGTCACGTCTTCAATGGTCAGTGAGATGACGGCAGAGAGATCACACTATTTTAGATTTATTATGTGGGAGGATATGATTTAATTTTGGTCAAGTGTTACTCGTGTGGTACTGTTCAATGGTCCTTTCTTACGCCTTCCTAAGCAGCCAGCTCCGCGAAGTAAACGCGTGTCAATATGAAGGTGTTACTTATACTTTTCTGTGCCTCTGTTACAAAAATTTCCTGAACATATAAATGCACGAAAACCATTTACCTGCAATTTCTCTCCCCCGTTTTGCACACTCATCAACAGAACCCGACGTTCATGTCCAACTCAAGAAACTTGGCGTCAGGATACCGACTGATCGACTCAACATTTTCCATACAACTTTTAACGATCTTGATGCCCCATTAATTTTATTCACAGACGCTGCCATCTGATTTTACGCCACTTCTGATGATGCGACTGCAATTGGCAGGCTCACCTCAAAAAAGCTACAGATTCATTTCATAAAATCAACATAACTTTTATCGCATACACTCAACCCTAAACGGCGACGAACATTTTTGAACGACAGCTTGACAGAGACGCAAGAAGCTGCACCAGGGACGAAATCAAACATATTATATACACAATAAAACTGGCTACACATGCAGGAAATAATCATAGACAAACGCAACACTCAAATAATCAAAATAGTAACCACAGACACTACAATCGCCCCAGACATTCCTACAAACGTATTTTGAATGTAAAACACCAAAATAACCCTCTCACAATGCGAACAGGGACAGTACGCACACCAACTAATCAGTTTAAAATGTTGCAAATAGAAGACCACGTTCACACCAATACACATACCCCACTCCTTGCTTCGGATGTGCAGCCTAAGACCACACTTACCCCCAATGTAATAACCACCACCAAAAATGCCTCAACGACTATCGCACCTGAGCCGCAACCTGTACCGCACACAAAATACATATACTAAACCAACTCAATTCACAGCGACAAAAAAAAAACACCAAAAAATAGAAAAATAAATATGACACAACAAACAAATATTTCTCCCTATATTTGACGTTGACTGACTAGACGCAACTGAAACTGACAGCTTTCATACTCGATGTCTCGAAGCCCGCATACCCCTCCCGCCTGGAGGCGTATGGTAGCATCGTATTGAAATCACTGAAAGTAAACTACGACATTGACGCGGCTTTTATGATAGAGACTTCGCTTAAATATTTTAACCAACTTGAGGTCACGACCCCAGGCACAGACTTTAACTCTAGGACCGTATTAATTGACAATGACAACCTCAGACGATCATCACTAAATATATCTCAACAGCCAGCAGACAACAACAACCGTAAGAACGACTCATAATGAAGACCGTTACCCTATAAAAAGGAAAATCATTGAATGATAGTAACAGGAATCAACAGAACCCGGACTCGACGAACCATACCCCATCAAACTATTTTGTAGCTCTGAAAACCCCTTTTGAAATCCCTCTGGAGTCACATAACGTTTATCTTGCAGACGAACAGAGAAAGAAGGAATACAGAACGAAGCTTTCGATGAAGGACGCAGACTCTTCAAGAGTACTCGACTATCTGAAACGTGACAGACTGAAGATGCACCATCTATTAATAAACTGCATCCCTCAGTCCTCATGAAAGATACTACAACACAACATCCGCCACTGGACCAATAACGGATCCACTCTTGCGAACATCTACAACCATATTGGCACCGCCAGATTCATTAATGACCACTCTATCACGGATGACAACACTACACTTAGAATATTCAACTACAATGTACTTCCGAACAGCTGCAATAATGACAACACACAAAACTCCGGTGCTGCTATAGCCACTAGGAGTCTCATAAATCATAAACTTCAAAAAAATATGTACAAACGTACCCACTACGTACAGACTACATCATCTGTACATACTTTCACAGACTCTTTAACAGGCCCCATCTCGTTTACCTACTCGCAAACATAAACGCAAGAACACACAACAATAGGAAACAGCTCTCCCAACAATATATAAGGACGATTACACACAGTAATAACCCGCACAAATGTACCCCCATTGGCCGAAACTTTCCAACTCCCATCACCCACAGCAGGACGTCATCTCCAGTCATAAGCCACATCAAGTCATTCATAAGCAACAGAAGGCATTCCACAACACTCTCATATAACCAGGATCCATTCCACAACCTTCAGACCACATTTCAATAATAGTACTCACATTCAGACCCCAACCACAAGACCTTACATTAAAAAACGACACATGCTTAGACAACTGGGCCTCAATCCCATCATAAGACCCTGCATCATTCCAGGCCTCATGCCCCTTCGCGAACATTACTTATGCTAGCGCAACATCACGCCAATCTTCAATGCATCCATCACTGGCACTTAACAGACCACTCATCACCTCCATGGCAAAAACTACACATAGCACTCAGTCTCCTCCAAATACAGACATGGTAGGACCTCATTAGCATTTTAGAAACACAAACCGCGCTCACACAAAAATTCTGGTCGTCCCTAAAGCGCATGCTAAGATCCGACAAGAAGACAAAGCGTCCCATATCTCTAACACAAAAATATCCAAAGCGACAAACCAGAAAAAAAATCATCTTCCACCAACATTGGCCGGACATACGGTATTCACTCAGAACGACGCAAAGAACGAAGATTTTGACATCGATCACATCTGCACCGTAAAAGACACCGAAGAAACAACATACATCTCATTCACCCATGCAATCATGGCGACCTTACCCGACTCCACCTTGTATACTTTCCACCCATAACCATGAAATGGAAAACTACGGCGCACACTGAAAATATTTCTACAGAAAGCACCGGGCTTCACAAGAATCAAAACCCTTCAAGTCAAAAAATCTGTTCAAAATAATGATCCACTACCCGCTGTACATATTCAATCTCTCCATCTCCGTTGGTTATTTCCCAGATTCACAATAATGATGATGTTCCACGCAAAACCCGCCACATCTCATCACCAAGTACGAAACTACAACTTGATTTCACTAAGACATCCACGGGAAGTTCTTAGATAAAATACTAAACAATAGATTACATGAGCACCTCAGCATGGGCACCTCAGAGGGTTTACTTTGTCTTATTTTCAGACTCCGTGAAAACTCCGTACAACCCTGGACTGATGCCGCAAAAGCTGACTTGCTGCAATACAATAAAAGCCGGACATTGCGTCGAGATTGCGTCGAGAAGTGATCCTCCTGTCGATAGACTCCTGCGTCTCGAAATAATTTTCTCGAAATGAACCGGGACAGACGAAACGAGACGAGAAAATTCCGGGAAAAAAATAACGGGACAGAGGGTAAAATTTGTCCCGGAATAAACGTATGAACCGAGACAAGAACCTATTTTAACCGGGATGTCTCGTCTCGTCTCGGTATCGTCCCGGAATTCCTACGGAGGGCTGAAAATTGTCCCGGTTTTTATTGCGAACCGGGACAGAGCCTGTTGTCTCGTCTCGTCTCGTCTCGGAATAAATAAAATGCCAAACGCAGGAGTCTACCTGTCGATACCGAAAACTTCGCGTACTGCGAGGCCAAGACTCGGTGCGAGGCCCTCGGCTTGCAGCTGGCGTCCTACGAGTTGCAGACCACCTCCGAAATTGTGGAATACTTGGCGGGAAATTATAAGCGTGAGTGGTGATCTACCTAATAGGTCTTGGGCCGTTCAATGTGTATAGTTTGAAATTCTTAAATCTGTCAGCCAATCACTGAAGGTTTTCAAGCTTAACCCACCTAACACAGACGAATAGACGCTAGGCAGGGTGGCATAGTGGTAACAGTTCAGAGTACCAAGATTGGCGCAGAGAGGCGCGGGTTCGATCCCAGCTCTGTGCGTCAGTTTCTGGTCAGAATCTGCAAGGAGGCCGGGCGGTTAAGCACAGCAGAATTGTAGCAGTGAGCTGCGAGTTCGAGACCGCAAAATGCTGTGAATGTTCTGCGATGTTGAGAACCGGCGACAGGCCTACGGCCTACTAAACGCTGAAACCGCTATATAATAATCGGCCACTTCGTGTACTTAGAACGCTAAGAGTACTTTGGCGAGATTCATAAGTACGGCCCTTGTACTGCAAAGCTGAACTCAATTCTTGTGCTGATTGATTTTGCACTTTATGTGAAAAATCGAGCACTTGTTACACGGATTGTCACCGACAACATGATTGAGCGAGCTTTTTGGGCGGAGAGTAGAACCCTGATATTAGTTCATTTATCCATTCACCGACTTGACATTGAACAATCAACTCTTAAATAAAAATGTCGTATAGGGTCTTATTTAGATCGATGAGTTCAAAGGTACGATTGTTATAGATCTTCACTTTCAATAATGAAAGATAGGATTGCAGGGTGGCAGCAACACAACTATTTCACGAGATCGAATGTAGGTGCGAGTTAAGCTCTTTTACAGACCGGCGTACATTTGTCTCAACTACAAAGTTTTCGAGTCTGTATAAATAGTTGTTTAAGTGTGAGTTACATATTGGGAATATAAATAGCCTCAGAAATCAGCGCTCTATTGCAGTCAGTTTCATGGCACAGAATAATTATTGTTGAATTTAGAAAAATTTCATCCCGTGTTAGATCGATCCTTGTCATGTGTTCGATTCTTTAACACGTTGACTCCGAAGTGGTACATATGCGTATCACGAGGTTTATTTCTGCAGGACGTAGTGGTACGTTCATGGTTCCCAGATGGCCTAAAAGCGGTCAAGTCTATATTTATAGATACCAGCGTAAAAATTCACTCTTTTTTGCAGTTTTGCACTTATATTTTTAGCAACACTTTTTAACACGTAATTATTTTTGACAACCATTTTTAATACTCAATTATTTCAACAATTTTTTCAAATAGATTTTACCGTACTATTTCGTATTTATTAACATACTATACATATTATTCCGGTAGTGCACTGCATAGACCAATGAAAATTCAATATAAATCTTCAATTTTTATATTTCATAATAGTACAAAAAATTGAATAATAGTATAGTGGGGCCTCTGAAAAATAACGGTGTCCTTGTTGGAGACGACAAGGGCATGTGTGAACTTCTGGGAACTCAATTTGATAAAAGTATTCAGCGAACTCCGATACTCAAGGCAGGAGAACGAAATTGGAGTCATTCAAGAACTTCCAGGGGATCGGGAGCTGACGAGCATTGAGTTTGAAACGCCTGATCTAGAGAGGAGTATCCAAGAATTATCTACGTATTCGGCTCCCGGGCCGGATGGGGTCCCTGCAGTATTACTGAAAAGATGTGTCGGTGCACTAAATGTCCCTCTGACTTTGCTCTGGAAAACATCATTGAGAGAAGGAAATGTCCCAAGTGACCTTAAATTAGGGCTAATTACCCCTATCTACAAAGGAGGTGCAAGAGACAAACCACAAAATTACAGGCCGGTTACATTAACATCACACGTAATCAAAGTAATTGAGAAGGTTGTTGCCAGAAGGTTGGTGCAGTACATGGAAGACGCTGATCTTTTCAACAGAAGGCAACACAGTTTTAGATGAAATCGTTCCTGTTTGTCTCAGTTACTGGAGCATCATCACCAAATCCTGGCCATGCTGGAGGAGGGGGCCGGGGTGGACGTGGTGTATTTAGACTTCGCGAAAGCCTTTGACAAAGTCGACCATGGAGTGCTCTTCAGAAAATTAAGACTGCTGGGAGTCGGAGGTGAATTGCTGGCATGGATCCACAGCTTCCTAACAGAAAGACTACATGCTGTAGTTGTTGGAGGCTCGAGATCGAGCGTGGCGAGGGTGAAGAGTGGAGTAACACAGGGAACGGTACTCGGCCCAATCCTCTTCCTCATCCACATCGCCGACATAGATGTGACAGTGAATCACGCCACTGCATCGTCATTCGCGGACGACACCAGGATATTAATGACCATCACGGACAGGACGGACAGTGAGAGGCCCTAGTGAACAACTGGGCCCTAGTGAACAACATGCAGTTCAACGGGAGCAAGTTTGAGGTCCTGAGGTACAGAGGAACCGGAAGAGCTTGAATGGACCACCGCTACCTGGCACCTGACAACTCAGAAATCGAAGAGAAGCGACTCGTTCGCGATCTGGGAATGTTGATGAACAATCAGGTCAATTTTGGTGATCACATACCGGCAGTAACCGCAAAAGGTAGACAACAGATGGGGTGGATCTGGCGAACGTTCAGAACGAGAGAAGCGGAACTGATGATCACACTCTTCAGAGCCCTTGTAATACCTATCCTTGAATACTGCTGCCAGCTCTGGACTCCGTTTACACTAGGCGCAATACGGTAACTGGAAGGAGTCCAACGAACCTTTACTTCCAGGATCAGAGTGATGGAGAATTTTAACTTCTGGGAGAAGTTACAGCTACTGAGTCTGTACTCACTGCAGAGGAGACGGGAGAGGTATGTCATTCTGTACACATGGAAAATGATAACCGGTATGATGCCAAACTTCGAGAGCGAGACCTTCAGGATTCAGACATATCACAACGAGAGAAGGGGGAGACTGTGCAAGATCCCCCCACTACGTAACAGATCCGCGGTCAGATTTCAATCCCTGCAGGAAGGATCACTTTCCGTGGCAAGGCCAAGGCTGTTCAACGCCCTACCAAGGGATCTAAGAGAGGGGGAGTTCACCCTGGAGACCCTCAAGAGACAACTAGACGTGTTTCTGGGCACAATCCCAGATCGACCTCCCCTGCAACACTACCAGCGGCGAGAAGCAAGCAACAGCATCGTGCATCAGGTGGCCCAAATGAGGGCGGATGAACGATAACCAGAGGCGGCGATCCCTCGTGGCCTGGGACTGCTATGTCCTAAACAAATACTAAGGATTCAAGATGAAGCAATTTGAGTCAACGTGTTAAACATGTGTTTTCGGACCTTCTTAAAATTATGCATTGTGAGTTGTTTGAAATTTTTTTTGGAAATACCCATTTTTCGTTATCACTTTAGCAATAGGCCGTTGCTACGGCGGAAATAAATTGCGACCAACCAAACGTCTGCGAATGTTGCTGCTGAGCATCTGCCTGTGTCGACCTGTAGGCCTCAAAACCTGCATAGCGTTCGTGTTTATCGCCACTGTGTGCAGCCTTGTCGCCGATTATCGCTCGGCTGCCTCAACATCCGTTCGTTGAATAACAAAGTTGACGAGTTTTTTCACATTTTTCGCTCGTACTCACTAGATGTCGTCGTCTTGACCGAGACCTGGCACGACGCTGACTCGGTTTGCTCAGTCTTCGCGCTGAAGGACTCAAAGTAGTTGAGCGCGCAGCCCCGCATGCAACCCAACACCCTGTCGACGAATTACGGTGGAGTAGCTACCCTCGCCAGCGGGGGCGTGCACCTTTCCGTTCTTGACATTTGCGCTCGACCCACCAGTTTTGAGCTGCTATGTACTAGGGTCACCTGTGCTTTGTTTACGAGCGTTGCAGTCGCCATCTATCGCCCGGATCGGTTGCTGTGTCGCTCGATTTTTCGTCGAATTGAGCGATGACTTCACCAGACTTGTGACTTTCCAGGATCATGTCCTTGTCACAGGCGATTTGAACATTCGACTGGATCGCGTCGAAGACCTTTCGGCTCGTCAGCTGAACGACCTTCTGGCCACCTTTGGCATGGTTTGACACGTAACCTTGCCGACGCACGACATGGGTGGACTGCTCGACGTTGTGATCACACGTGCTGACCATCAAAGTCTGCCTGTCGACATCATCTAGATCGCAATATCCAACCGTTTATTACTTCAGCGGACGGTGTCATGTGTGCGTCCGATGCCAGAGTACAAAACAGTTTCCTATTGTCCGTGGCGCGGTCTCAACGCTGAAGTCTTGCGCTAAAAATAACAGTAGTCCTGACTAAGAAGGCCTGATTTATGGTCGGCACTATCAGTCAACGACCTCGTGCAACTCTCTTATACTGAGCTGACATATGCACTCGATGACCTCATTCCTGCACGCACAGTTCGGGTACCCCTACGAGTCTTCGACCGATGGTTCAACGATGAATGTCGAGCCTCGAAGCGGGGGGTTCGACTGCTCCAGCGGGCTGTCTACCGTGCGAACAGACGCGGCAATCCTGCTGCTGCCGCTGTTGTGGATTCCAACTGGCGAGATGAGCGGCGCAATTATGTCGACCTTTTTCATTCTAAACGTCATTTGGCGCCAGAGAATCGACGTGCAACGCAGAGATCCTAAAGCGTTGTGGCGTTCGATAGATATACTTATGGGAAGATGTCATATAGAGGCTTCGGTTGACGTAAGCGTGGAGGAAGTCCATGCAGTTTTTGAAAACAAAAGTTTTGCTGTGCGAGTGTCGTCGGCCGATGCTCCGCCGGCAGCAATTGCGCCGTGACTGCGTGCTTCAAGAATTCACTCGCTTCACAGCTGGCGACGTCATCGCTGCAGTGCGCGAGCTGCCTAACAAGCAGCGAACCAGCGATCCGCTGCAGACGTCGTTACTTGAGGGGAATGTTGTAACCCTAGCACCTTTTTTGGTCGAACTTCTCAACCACTGCTTCACTAACAGTGTTGTTCCGATGAACTCCAAATCAGCCTACGTTACGCTTCTATTAAAAAAAACAGACCTTGACGCTTCCGATCACAAATCATATCGACCCATCTCCAACATGTCAATTTTG